GACTTAGGAGGAGAGGTAGGCTGTGTGGAGGCTGGGGAAACCCAGGTTATGGAGGAGGTGCAGCTGTGGAAATGCCAAGGTGGAGTTGTGACCTTGACAGTGAGTGATTGAAGTAGGGTGGAAGAAGGGATTACTGAGGGAAAGGAGGACTAGTTTCTTTATATTCAGTGAAAAAAGACGCAGAAGGAAATGACTCTCATGAGCATGTTTCTGTTCTCCTTTCCTGCACCTTCCTCTGCCAGACTGGTATTTTGCCCTTCCTTGTATGGGGCTGGTGGTTGGTGGATGAAACTCCTTTTATTGTCTGGCCATTTGTTTACCGATCTGGTTTATTTCCTGGTATTCAGTGTTTATTTTGTGTTGAATATTAGTTGAAACCTGTAACGCAGTCCCATAAAAGACTGGTGGGTGTGCCGCTGCTGATATTTATTTTGCCAGTCAAGCCCTATTCTTGAGAATAGAGCCCTTCCCCTAACCATGGTTGTCTGCTTACAGCTTCCATCACCATGAAAGCCTCTGATTAACAACAACAAGAACGGGTGGGTGGATCACAGCCAATTCATCCACACCGTGAGTGAGTAGCTTGGAGGATCATGATTTTAATACACAATGGACAGTGACTTTATCATCATCACACCATCATGTGCTTTCTTTCTGTCTTGGGGCCAGCATTGTGGGCAGGTCAGGATGAGGCAGTCAAAGAATATGGGTTTTGTCGTCAGGGGACATAGTTTCAAATCCAATGCCACCAGTTGCTAGTGATGTAAATTTAAGTAAGTAATCAACCTGAATACTCATTGGAAGGACTGATACTGAAGCTGAAGCTCCAATACTTTGGCCACCTGATGCAAACAGCCAACTCATTGGAAAAGACCCTGATGCTGGGAAAGATTGAAGGTAGAAGGAAAAGAGGGTAACAGAGGATGAGATGGTTGGACAGCATCACCAATGCAATGGACATGACCTTAGGCAAACTCTGGAAGATGGTGAGGGACAGGGAAGCCTGGTGTACTACAGTCCATGGGGTCGCAAAGAATTGGACATGACTTGGTGACTGAATAACAATCAGTTCATTCGCTCAGTCATGTCCGACTCTTCAAGACCCCATGGACCACAGCATGCCAGGCCTCCTTGTCCATCACCAACTCCCAGAGTTTACCCAAACTCAGGTCCATTGAGTTGGTGATGCCATCCAACCATCTCATCCTCTGTTGTCCCCTTCTCCTCCTGCCCTCAATCTCTCTCAGCATCAGGGTCTTTTCAAATGAGTCAGCTCTTCACATCAGGTGGCCAAAGTATTGGAGTTTCAGCTTCAACATCAGTCCTTGCAATGAACACCAAGGACTGATCTCCTTTAGGATGGACTGGTTGGATCTCCTTGCAGTCCAAAGGACTCTCAAGAGTCTTCTCCAACACCACAGTTCAAAAGCATCAGTTCTTCAGTGCTCAGCTTTATAGTCCAACTCTCACATCCATACATGACCACTGGGAAAACCATAGCCTTGACGAGACAGACCTTTGTTGGCAAAGTAATGTCTCTCCTTTTTAATATGCTGTCTAGGTTGGTCATAACTTTTCTTCCAAGGAGCAAGCATCTTTTAATTTCATGGCTGCAGTCACCATATGCAGTGATTTTGGAACCCCAAAAAATAAAGTCAGCCACTGTTTCCCCATCTATTTCCCGTGAAGTGATGGGACCAGATGCCATGGTCTTAGTTTTCTGAATGTTGAGCTTTAAGCCAACTTTTTCACTCTCCTCTTTCACTTTCATCAAGAGGCTCTTTAGTTCTTCTTCACTTTCTGCCATAAGGGTGGTGTCATCTGCATATCTGAGGTTATTGGTATTTCTCCCGGCAATCTTGATTCCAGCTTGTGTTTCATCCAGCCCAGGTTTCTCATGATGTACTCTGCATATAAGTTAAATAAGCAGGGTGACAATATACAGCCTTGACATACTCCTTTTCCTATTTGGAACCAGTCTGTTGTTCCATGTCCAGTTCTAGCTGTTGCTTCCTGACCTGCATATAGGTTTCTCAAGAGGCAGGTCAGGTGGTCTGGTATGCCCATCCCTTTCAGAATTTTCCACAGTTTATTGTGATCCACACAGTCAAAGGCTTTGGCATAGTCAAGAAAGCAAAAATAGATGTTTTTCTGGAACTCTTGCTTTTTTAATGATCCAGTAGATGTTGGTAATTTGATCTCTGGTACCTCTGCCTTTTCTAAAACCACCTTGAACATCTGGAAGTTCACGTATTGCTGAAGCCTGACTTAGAGAATTTTGAGCAATAGACTTGAGCAAATTACCCTTTCTGAGACCCAGATTTTCAGATTTCTTGTTCTTAAAATGTAGATAATGCCACTCTGTATTGTTTGATTAGGAAATGAAATAATGAAGGTTAAAAAGCATTGAGAAGAATAACTTAGTAGATATTGACTCAATAAACATTAATTCCTTCTTTTTTTCAGAAGACTGAGTCCATTCAACAGATATTACCGAGTATCTTTATCCCTGGGTGCTATTCAACAGTGGAAGTTGGGGGGTATTTCCTGATGGCAAAATGACTTCTGGCAGCCGTTGGATTGGCCCAGGGATTAGTCCTTTATAGGGTTTTATTGGCCTCTTTCCTGGGCAAAGTCTGATCTTGCTGTTCCTGCCTTTATTGTCCTCTCTATCTGTCCAGCCTCTTTCTGATGACTCCTGTTTCCTGAGTTAACTTTACAACATATTAAAGTGTACTTATCTGTAGCCTGGCTAGAAAGAGGGCAGAAGTATAGAGGGGAAGGTAAGGGACCTGGGCTTTTCCATAGCTTTGATTGGAAATAGATAGGTGGGACTGAATCTTATTTAGTCTCTGATTGTTCAGCCCTAAAGGGGAAGGGTCATCATTTTGTCTCCCAGGTGAGAGCTTGGGGAATGTCTTATCTGGGTTTCCACTTAGACATAGTCCATTCTTTAGAAGAGCTTCTCAGAAGAGGTGTCTAAGGATGGTGCTGGCTGCCTTTGGAGATACCATCATAATATATACCACCATACAAGGTGCTCAAGATTAGAAGGAATATTTGAAGATACCGTTGAAAAGAGGTTCTCAAATTTTGAGTGGGCATCAGAATTGCCTGGCAGGCTTGTTAAAACACAGATTGCTGTGTTTCTAATTAAGTAGGTCTGGGGTGGGGCCAAAGAATTTGCATGTCTAACAGGCTCCTGGGTGATGCTGTAAATATGGGGGTAATTATAGGGGATATTCAAGCATCAGATAGAACTTATCTTTAAATTTGGGGCCACCTCTGAAATGCTGGGTCAGGCAGATCCCTGGGAGAAGAGAATGGCTACCCACCCCAGTATTCTTGCCTGAAGAATTCCATGGACAGAGGAGCCTGGTGGGTTACAGTCTATGGGGTCGAAAAGAGTCAAGACATGATTCAGCGACTAACACTTTCACTTTCTGAAATGCGATGTTCCTATAAGTTCTTGAGGGTTATATTACTGAAATCTTGGCTTTTCTCCTGAAACCTTTTATTCCTCTAGCCTTTTCCATCTCAGTAAATGGCTATTCACCCAGTTACTTGAGGCAGAAACCTTTGTATTATCCTTAATTTCCCCCTCTTCCTCTGCTCCCTGACACCAGGGAGATGTTTGAGAACACCTGATCTTTAGGGACAATTGTTCTAACCGATCAGCATCGAAACTTTTGGAAGCCAGTTGGCCATTGTGGATAACAGTATTTAAACTAATGTGTGCATCTGGAAGTTATGAATTTACAGCCATTTCATAGGGGATTTACTCCCTGTCCTTTTACACATAAAGATGTACTAGCCTCATAACTTTGTAAGCTATCATAAGACAGTGTTGACTCTTGAGCTCTATTGCATCGGTTATAACAGCAAAGAAAAGGGATTGATCATTTTAGTGGATAACTCACTCTTTGGAAAGATCTTCCCAACACACTCGGCTTTCTTATTGCACTAAAAATGTTGCTTCCTCAACTTGCCTTGTTCTCTGCTTTCCTCACTCCTTTTATTTTTTTTAATTAAAAAAATTTTTGGAGTATAGTTGATGTACAATGTTGTGTTAGTTTCAGGTATATAGCAAAGTGAATCAGTTATACATATACACATAGTCATTCTTTTTACAGATTCTTTTCTCATATAGGTTATCACAGAATATTGAGTGGAGTTCCCTGTGCTATACAGTAGGTCCTTGCTGGTTATCTAATTATATGTAGTAGTGTGTGAATGTTCATCCCAAGCTCCTGATTTATCTCTCCATTTATCTCTCCTTTGGCTACCAAAAGTTTGTTTTTGATATCTGTAAGTCTGTTTCTGTTTAGTAAATAAATTCATTTGTATCAACTTTTAAATTATATTCCACATATGCATTATATATGATATTTTTCTTTTTCTGTCTGACTTCTTCACTTAGTATGGTCATTTTTAGGTCCATACATGTTGCTGCAATCAATGCTTCCCACATTCCTTTTTGATTCACTGCCAGACTAAATCAGATCCCTGTCTGTTCTCTCGCATCATATCCCCACATTTCTTCTCCAAGTCAGAGAAAATTGCCTGTATACTGTCCTCTCTTCTGAGGCCAGAATTTCCTTGAGGTCAAGGGCAGTTGTGTTCCCCAGTGTTCATCCTCCTTTTGCTGTGACTAGAGTCTTAAACATATCAAAGTCTCAGTGCATTTTTATTAAATGAATGAATAATGGAAAGAATGAAGGTTAGGTTATCTAGACATGTATGGCACAAAGGCACCCATGCATGGATGCCCTAGGGAAGAACTCTTCTTATTAAAATCCATTTTAAATTTCTGTCTATTCTTTGAAAGAAGAACAGCACAATCTACCAGGCTGAATGGAATGAAGTCCAAGAACGCATGCCATTGGAAAGATGTTTCCTTTAGATTGTCAGGGAAGGAAGAATCTGGTTTCAGGAGCCCAGACAGAGGAGGTATTCTTTTGGGTTCCAGTGAAAAATGCATCTAGAACATTTGGCTTTGCTTATTTGTCACCCTGGCTCTCAGAATAATTTGGTGGCGAGTTCTCTGGTTCTGGGATGACCACTGGGTTTGTCACGTAGACATTTGGGATCACCACGTCCACCTGGAAAACAGGCAAACAGGAAGTGTACCAGTGATGAAGCAAGAAGGACTGAGCATGCCTTTAGGTACCAAGGGAGCCCTCCTGCTCCTGGGCAGGAAGGGGAGTAGGATCAGTCCTCTAGTCTCCACCCTCTTTGGGACCTCTTCCCATCCTCTGAGGAGCCTCTGGGACTCACGTTGTTGGTTTGGTAGCAGGTCAGCTGGCAGCCAAAGTGGGCAGATGCACTTGCAATGCACACCTCCAGGAGGCAGAAGATGAGCAGCAAACCAGAAACGGCCATTCCAGGGACCTGGAACCAGAATGGACCAGGAGGACCTGAGTGCAAGTCTGGGAGTCTGAGCTCTGACTCTGCAGTGGCTATCTCTATGGCTTTGATGAAGTCCCCTAACCTCATCTCAGCTTAGTGGGGAAAATACCTCACTGGATTTTTGTGAAGGCCAAGTGTGTTTGTGAAAGAAATTTTATCTTAACACTTACTAGCAATGCTGCCCTAAAAGAGAGGATAGTCACTGTCTAGGGAAACCCCTTGACACCTTGCTTCAGATATCAGGGACCTGAGGGTATGGTCTGGAGTCAGACAGTGAAACAGTGGAACTGTTCTGTGTAGGATGTGAATAGAAATTTGGGAGTATGGACAAGCCACAGAGAGAAGCAGTATGGGTAGAGGAAAAAGATGGGACTGAGCAAGGTGGTGGGAAGGTGGCAGCTGCAGAAAAAGGCATCTGATGAAAAGATGACACTTCACAAAACAGGAATATCTAATCTCCAGGAATCAGTAGTTTCCTAGGCTCTGATGTAAACCTCTACCATCTCTCTGAACCTTTAGAGAAAGTCAGCTACTGCGGTCATTCTCTTGGCTTGTGACAGTGCCATTTTGTAGAGGGAAGTAATTGGGGCTGTCTTAGGCTTGTGAAGAAAGAGTGAGGGAAAGGCCCCCAAATTTGAACTAGTTCAATAAAAACAGATTTCACCTAAGGACCTGGGGAAATCCAAGCCCCTTCCTTGCTATTCTCCAAGATTACCCAGGAGAATGGGGTCTCCCACTGTGCCTGAGGAGAGAGTTTGAGTAAAATCTATTTTCCTCTTAAAGAACAGGGCTGAAAGACCCCAACTGCCATACGGATTCCAATCACACAAAATACTAAATATGAAAGGAAAAGTGCCCAGTACATGATAGTAGGTGCCAAATACATGTTATTGACTATGATTTTAAAATGACATAGGTGAGAGTCAGCTGCTCAGAGAATTCTCCCTTTTGGAGAGGCCCTTCTTCCCTCCTTTCCTTTGTCTCCCTCTCAATTTAGCAAGTTTTTACTAAACATCTATTTAGTACAACGGGCTCAGAGAAGCATCCCAAGAGGCACAGTTGAGTGTAGGAGACAGATACAGATGTGGATAATTACAATCCACATCAGACAGAGCAAGAGCTATAAAAGAGTCGGGAAAAAGATGTCTCAGGTTCACTGGGGAGAGCGAGAGATGGAATTCACCCTACATGAGTTAGAGAGGGTGCGAGTAGAAGAGGGTGGTCCAAGCAAATGGAAAGGTGGGCTGATGAGGTCTTAGTCAAAGAATCACAAAGTTCCAGAAAGGAAGAGTGTTTTCAAATGATTCTGGTCCTTTCTAAAGTTGTTTTTAACACAGTTCTTTTACAAAGAAAACCCTTCATGGAAAGGGGTCCTTCAAGCAGCTTAGATGGATTTCCCAGGTGGTTCAGTGGTGAAGAATCTGCCAATGCCTGCCAATGAAGGAGACGCAAGAGATGTGAGTTTGATCCCTGGGTTGGGAAGATTCCCCAGGTATAGGAAATGGCAAGCCACTCCAGTATTCTTGCCTGGGAAATCTCATGGAGATAGAAGCCTGGTGGGCTACAGTTCATGGAGTCACAAAGAGCTGGACATGACTGAGCTACTGAGCACACACACACACAGAGTTTAAACATGCATCATTTGATGGGCATTAATTCATGCTTGTTGAGCTCCTGGAGCACCCCATCCTTTGGGTCATCATTTACAAAGATCAGATGAAGTCCAGCTCTTCTTGTTCAGATGCCAGGCCTGAGGTCTGAGGGTGGGTGGGCAGCTGGGGTAGGAAGAGTTCTCTTTCTGAGATCTGACATGGGCAGAACCAAGATTAGAAGCCAAGTTTTCCGACTTAAAGTTTCTGCAGCCTCCACTCCAGGGTGTTGGCAGTGCTGCGTGGTTTAGTCTTTCCTGACCCTCTTTCCCTCCCACCCACCCCACCTCCCTCAGCTCTTCAACCTGCACCTGCCTCCTCATTTCTTACAATGAGCACCCCATGCCTCCTATTTCCCAGCAGGAAAAGATGCAAGCCTTCTCCAGTGCCCAACTTTCTGGGTGGGGGGTTGGGGGGAGGATGGGGATGGGGGTGGGGTGGGGGGGTGGGAGGAGCTGGATGTCAGAGGGAGCAAGGGATTGGAAGGGAAGTGAGCGGCAAGGCACACAGAGTTGGAGCCAGGTCTCTGGGCAGCAATAAATACCTGGTCAAGGAATTTAGACTTTAATCCTAAAGCAACTGGGAGCCATAAAGTGTTTCCAGAAGGGGAGAAACTCAAGGTACTTTTGATAAAAGACATGGACATGTTCGATAGGTTCTCTGGGGCGAGGCTTTTCTCACAAATTTTGGAGACAAAAGTCTTGGGAAGGACTTCTGATCAAAACAAGTAACAATTAATGTTTTCTATTTACTGAGTCACACCAGGTGACATTAAGGTATTCATTTGACAAATGGTTATGAGCTGTCAATCCTGTTCCAGACATGGGCCTGGGTATTTGAGACAGGACAGTGAATGAAACAGAAAAATGGCCCTGCCCTTATGAAGCTTATATTCTGGTGGGAGGAGACAGTTAGTAAGCATGAAATATAACAGACAAGTAAATTGCAGAGTTCGTCAGATGATGGTTAAGGCTACTGGTGTCAGGGAGCATTTAACAGGAGGATTCCTGAATGCTGTTTTCTATTTCTCATAAATCCTCTGTTCCTTATAAGTTCCTATTCTGGGAATGAGTAGAGCTGCATGCAGCTCTAAGGACTGATCTCATGAGAAATGGTATCTGCTTGGATTCCTTTCAGTAACTCCCTTCAGTGACTCTTCTCTGCGTCAGCAACCTAGTATGTGTTAGACTATCTGTGTTGTGACTATTGATAAAATTTCATCCTGTGTAATAGCTGAGTAATCATCTACTAAAGATACATAAGCCTGCATTTCTGCTAATAAAATACCCTTGCTCCATCAGAGCTTGGGTCCCCGTGTCTTTCTTTCTTTCTCTCTCTCTCTCCCTCCCTCCAGCTCTCTTTCACTTTCTTATTGTCGACTCCAGACCACCAGGTTCTGGTCCATTAAAGGAACCAACATACTGGGAACTCAAAATGGATTAAGGGCCTAAATGTAAGACTGGACACTATAAAGCTTTTAGAGGAAAGCATAGGAAAAACACTCTTTGATGTAAATTACAGCAAGATCTTTATTGACCCACCTCCTAGAGGAATGAAAATAAAAACAAAAATAAACAAATGGGACCTAATTAAACTTAAAAAGTTTGCATAGCAAAGGAAACTGAAAATAAGCCAAAAAGACAACCTTCAGAATGGGAGAAAATATTTGCAAGTGAAGCAATGGTCAAAGGATTAATCTCCAAAATATACAAACAGCTCATGCAACTCAATAAAAAAAAATGAACAACCCAATGAAAAAATGGGCAGAAGAAGACCTAAACAGACATTTCTCCAAAGAAGACACACAGATGGTCAAGAGGCACTTGAAAAGATGTTCAACATCATTAATTATTAGAGAAATGCAAATCAAAACTACCATCAGGTATCACCTCCCACCATTCAGAACAACCATCATCAAAAAATCTACAAATAAATGCTAGAGAGGGTATGGAGAAAAGGGAATCCTTTCGCACTGTTGGTAGGAATATAAATAGGTATGGAGGGTCCTTAAAAAAGTAAAAATAGAACAACCATATGACCCAGCAATCCCACTATTGGGCATATACCCTGGGAAAACCATATTTCAAAAACACACGTCAGGCCCTTTCCAACAATTTCTAAACCCAGCTAGGGTGGAACCCAGGGGAACACTGGTCAGGAGGGGTACTCACCCGGCCCCAGGTGGGATAGTAAGGATTATAGTCAGAGTAGGCGTAGGGAGCCGTGATAATTAAATCTACGATGAAGAGTGTAAGTCCAACCATGGAGAAGATTGCACTGACGATGTTGAAGCCCACGCTGCTATTCAGCTGAAAAAGACAAAAGGTCAGAGTGGGAGATGAAAACAATTGTAACTGAGATGAGCAGCGACTCAGCAAGTATTCCTTAATAGGATTTCCCAGAATCAGTTCTGCAGCAAACAAGGCAGTGTTTTGTGCAGAAAGGAGTGTGGCTGGGGTTTCCCTGGTGGCTCAGTGGTAAAAGAATTCACCTGCCAATGCAAGAGATATGGGTTCCATCCCTGGTCTGGGAAGATCCCACATGCCGCAGAGCAACGAAGCCCATGCACCACAACTGCTGAAGCCTGTGAGCCTAGAGCCCCCTGCTCTGCAACAAGAGAAGCCGGTGCAGTGAGAAGCCCTCACGCTGCAACTGGAGCGTAGCCCTCACTCACTGCAACTAGGGGAAAAGCCCTTGTAAGATAACAAAGACCCGGGGAAACCGAAAGTAAATAAATATTAAAAAATTTTTTTAATTTAATTTTTTAAACAGAAAGTTTGGGGGCTAAATTAACTTTGAAACAAAGCTAAGTTAAACAAAGTTAAACAGGTCTTTGCTGCAGGACTTATAAGAGCCTTTAACAAGGATTATGGATCTTCAGTGGGGGTTGTGTGGGCTAATAAATAGAAATCTCTCCAAGTTTACCTACCCATCTTCACAGAGTATGTCATTGGACAAGTGTCCCCAAGAATAAGCTTTGGGCAACACTCCATCCTTTTATCCCATAGGAGATGGGCAGGAGGATCAACCTCTGATGTCTTGGAATGTGACAGGCTCCGGTGGCCCATGATTCTGGGCCACATGCAGAAAGTTGTTGTTTAGTTGCCTCAGTCATGTCTGACTCTTTGTGACTCCATGGATTGTAGCCCCCCAGGCTCCTCTGTCCATGGGAATTCCCAGGCAAGAATACTGGAGTGAGTTGCCATTTCCTTCTCCAGGGGATCTTTCTGACCCAGGAATCGAACCCATGTCTTCTGCTTTGATAGGCAAATTCTTTCCTGCTGAGCCACTTAGGGAAGCCCAGGTGTAAATAGACATGCCCATAATTTTGAGCTTTCCTTTGGAGATTTTCAAATAGATTTCCTCTGGTGTAGAGACCTGGCTATCTTGAAGCCTCTTAGGCTAGATAACCTGCTTGTGAGAGGAACCAGGGTACTTTCTGGGCATACTGCTAGGGGACCATGAAGCCTTGTCCATGCTGATTTACAGAGCTCCTTTGGCTGGGTTCCTTAGAGGGGCAGGTGCCTGAGCCTCCTTGGCTGTCCTGAAGAAATGGGGGCCTGATCTGTGTGCTGCTCAGCTGTTGGGGAGCCCTGGGCCCCTGAGAACTTTGTGCCTCCTCCTGGAAGAGCATCCTTGGGAAGCTATTCTTTCTCTCCACTCTCTGATGCCCTAACGAATGTGGCTATGTTGCCCTTCCCTCCCCTAAGTCCTCTAGACATTTTCCTTTTTGGAACTCTGGCCAGGTTCATGTGGCCTTGTGATTATCTGTGAGCAAGTGTCAGAAGAATTGATGCTTTTGAACTGTGGGGCTGAAGAAGACTCTTGAGAGTCCCTTGGACAGCAAGGAGATCAAACGTATCAATCCTAAAGAAAATCAACACTTAATATTCATTGGAAAGACTGATACTGAAGCTGAAACTCCAATACTTTGGTCAAAGAGCTGACTCATTGGAAAAGACCCTGATGCTGGGAAAGATTGAGGGCAGGAAGAGAAGGGGGCAACAGAGGATGAGATGGCTGGATGGCATCATCAACTCAACAGACATGAGTCTGAGCAAACTCAGGGAGATGGTGAAGGACAGGGAAGCCTGGCGTGCTGCAGACCATGGGGGTCACAAAGAGTCAGACATGATTGAGTGGCTGAACAACAATGTGTCAGAGTTCCATGTCTGGTTGTGAGTAGGTGCATGGATGAGGGAGGGATTAATCTTTTCCCCCTGGTGTGTCTTTCCTATAGGCCCCCAGCTGGGAGAGACAGTCACAGGATGTGACTTACCAGACAAGAAGATCGTGACTGCTTTTCTGCCAACACCGAGAGGGATCCTGAAATGATAAACTGGCACGGAGGAGAGCTGGTTTAGAAAGAGGTCAGGGGTTAGGGCCCCCGTCTTCAGGCTCCCATGATCCTGTTTACACACATATTCTCTCACACACACTATATTCCTCTGCTGAGGCCCCAGCTCAACATGAGGGGAAAGAATGAATGAATGGATGATTGAGGGTCTGTCTTGCACCACATCACAGGGTGGTGAAGTGGGATCCAGCAGACTGATTGTAAATTCTGGCTTGAATCTCATGTGATCTTGGGTAAATTATTCATTTCTGAAATATTTATTTCCTCATTTGAAAAAGAGGAAAATGAAATGACATGTCACTGTCACTAGAAAGGTTATGCCCCTTATCTGGCATTTAGTGTATCTTGCACATAGTAGATCCTATACAGAGTAAATGGTGTTTATTACTTTTTCTTTTACTTTTCCACATGCATATCTTGTTGGTTTCCCACCCACATCTCAGAATTCAGCTGGGCACAGGCGCTCAGGAAGGGGAGGAGGAAAGGCTACCAGCTGTACTGCTTTGAGATGTTTTAACGCAACCTTAGTCCTTACCTGTCAGCACACCTAGGTGAGTACCTTTTAGTGACTCAGAAAAGTGTCACACGTCTACAAAACTGAATGTCCAATATGAGAATTGCAAGGTAGATTGAGTGCATTTATCCCAGCACTGGTATTCTGTAGGCACAGCGGCTGCTGAGATTACCTACCATCATTTGCCCAATATGGCAGCAACAGTGCTCTGAAAGGGCATCAGCCACTGTTTAGGAAAAGCTTTGCTGAGCACTACATGAAGTGTTTCTTACAACTTTACCTTATTTAACTGCATCATGTCCCATCGGGCACTATTAATATTCCCATTTGATAGATGGTAGACTGAGGTTTAAAGACTTATTTATTTACATCCTGCTCTTTATTTTTTGCCACACTGTGCAGCATGCAGGATCTTAGTTCCTTGACCGTGGATTGAACCCGCTGCACCCCTGAAGTGGAAGCAAGGATTCTTAACCACTGGACCTCCAGGGAAGTCCTGTGGCTTAGAAATTTAAAATAATGCATCCAAGAACACCCAGAAAGTAGCAGAGTTGAGAGTCAGATTCAAGGAGTTGACTCTGGATCCCATGGTATTAACCCCCACTCTCTACCTGCTCCCAGTCAGGGAGGATGCATGTGCCTAGGAGTGTAAATGGTGATTTACAATGAAGACTGACTCAAGTGGTTTATGCCTTCTAAGGGGAATTTCATATTTCCTAGAAGTGTAAAAACAAATTTCAGTTGTACAGCCTTCTGTTTATAGAGAACTGATGAAGAAGATAGGGAACAAAAGGCTGGATTTCTGATGTTCCTGCTGGCCCTTTTGAGATGCGAAGGGAGATGCCTTTGTTTTAGAAGAGGGCATTAGTGAGCTTTAAGAAATAGAAAGACAGTCCTGGAGTCAAGAAGGCAGCTAAGAACAAAATTGCAGAAAGATGGAGGCGGGCTGAAGGTCACTGAGCATCCTGGCGGAAGAGGAGATGGCCAGTGAGGCATTTGAAATGTCAGGGCGGCCACTGGGAACTTAATACTCAGTGGAGGCTAACACTCAATAGCAGGGTAATCTTTGTCTGGCTTGTTAGCCCTTTCTGCTGCCCCGAACTCCATTAAAGTTAGTGATACAGAACAGGTGCCCTGTGAGTGCTTGGGGGCAGGAAGAGGGGTTGGTTCCAAGTTAGGTCTGTGTAGAGCAGAGAGAAGACCAGAATCTCAGGAGAGGACAGATGGGAGCTAGAGAAAGAGAGAGGGAGCAGTGACCCAAAGAAAGACATTCCCTAGAGCATAAACCCTGCCATTTTGCAGATATTGTGTGGGAATGAGGGTGGGGGCTAACTCTAGGCTGTTTTATTTTATTTATTTATTTATTGTGAAATTTATTATAGTAGTCCTTAAATTTTTGAAGCCTGTTCCCTTTAATTTCATTTATTTATTCATTTTATATTTGACTGTACTGGGTCTTCATCGCTGTGCTAGCCTTTCTCTAGTTGCTAAGAGTGGGGATTACTCTCTAGTTGGGGTGCACAGGCTTCTCATTGCAGTAGCTTCTCTTGTTGCAGAGCATGGGCTCTAGGGCTCGTGAGCTTTAGTAGTTGTGGTTCCCCGGCTCTAGAGCACAGGCTCAATAACTGCATGGGCTCAGCAGCTCTGAGGCTTGTAGGATCTTCCTGGCTTATTTCCTGCATTGACAGGCAGATTTTTTATCCCTGAGTCACCAGGGAAGCCCCAGGCTATTTTATTTAAATCTCACGGGATAAGGTGAATTTGGCTGACATCTAGGCTACTCTGGAATTTTGTTGTTTGTTAGAAAAGTTGCATTTGAGTCATAGACAGGTGTGTTAGTTGAGGGACAGACTGTATAACAGCAGGGAGGAAAAGGAGACTGGTGGGTGGAGGGGGAAGGAGTGTGTATGTACACGCGTGTGTGCGTGAGTGCGTGCGTGTGTGTGTGTGTGTGTGTGTGTGTGTGTGTGTAGGAGGAGGACACTAGGGAGAATGCAAAACAATCTTAAAGACAATGCCTTGGAGAAGAGAAAGGACTTGTACTCCTTAACCTTCTCAGTTCAGTTCAGTCGCTCATTTGTGTCCGACTCTTTGCGACCCCATGGACTGCAGCATGCCAGGCTTCCCTGTCCATCATCAACTCCCGGAGATTACCCAAACTCATGTCCATTGAGTCAGTGATGCCATCCAACCATCTCACCCTCTGTCATCCCCTTCTCCTCCTGCCTTCAATCTTTCCCAGCATCAGGGTCTTTTCAAATGAGTTAGTTTTTCGCATCAGGTAGCCAAAGGATTGGAGTTTCAGCTTCAGCATCCAATGAGTATTCAGGACTGATTTCCTTTAGGATGGACTGGTTGGATTTCCTTGCAGTCCAAGGGACTCTCAAGAGTCTTCTCCAACACCACAGTTCAAAAGCATCAATTTGTCAGCGCTCAGCTTTCTTTATAGTCCAACTTACATCCATATATGATGACTGGAAAAACCAAAGCTTTGACTAGATGGACCATTGTTGGCAAAGTAATGTCTCTGCTTTTTAATATGCTGTCTAGGTTGGTCATAACTTTTCTTCCAAGGAGCAAGCATCTTTTAATTTCATGGCCACAGTCACCATCTGCAGTGATTTTGGAGCCCAAGAAAATAAAGTCCGTCACTATTTCCACTCTTTTCCCATCTATTTGCCATAAGTGATGGGACCAGATGCCATGATCTTTGTTTTTTGAATGTTGAGTTTTAAGCCAGGTTTTTCACTCTCCTCTTTCATTTTCATCAAGAGGTTCTTTAGTTCTTCTTCGCTTTCTGCCATCAGGGTGGTGTCATCTGCATACCTGAGGTTATTGATATTTCTTCTGGCAATCATGATTCCAGCTTGTGCCTCATCCAGCCCAGCGTTCCTCATGATGTACTCTGCATATAAGTTAAATAACCTTCTAGGGAGTCACAAATCATTCTGAGAATCTGATGAAAGCTATGGACTTTGACAGAAAACACCCCCTAAGTATTTTACTAGAATGGGGACTCAGAAGCCCTTCCGTGGACTCTAAGCTGAGTCCGCATTTTTTTAGTGGCTTATTGACCCTTGAGCATGGGTGGAAATGCTTTTCTCCTGGAGTTCAGGCTGTGGGTCAACATTGAACACTTGAGGGCTGTTCCCAATGTATTTTTTTAAACATGGGTGCTTTTGTGGGAATTAGAAAACAGTAGTTCCTCTGGGTTGATAAACTAGAAAAATGTTCCCTGTCCTCTGGGGTGGGTGGATTAGGAAAGTGGCCTTTCTGAGTGAATGCTGTCTTGCACTGTCTTATAACCCTTGGTGTTATGAATGAATTATGACCCCTCAGAATATATCTTCTGAAGCCCTAACCTATAGTACCTCTGAATATGACTCTCTTTGGAGACAGCGGCTTTAAATAGATGATTAAGGGGGACTTTCATGGTGGTCCAGTGGTTAGGAATCTGCCTTGCAACGCAAGGGATGTGGTTTCGATATGTGGTCAGGGAACTAAGATCCCACCTGCCACAGGGCAACTAAGCCCATGCACACAACTACTGAGCCTGGGTACTGCAACTAAGTTGCAGCACAGTCAAATAAACAAATAAATAATTGAAAAAATCAACCAAACAACAACCATAAAATTTGACTTAAAAAAGAGCTGACTAAAGTTAAAGGGGATCATCAGGGTTGGACTTGGACCTAGACCAATATGACTTAGGTTCTTATGAAACAAGGAGATTAGTGAGAGTGTTAATGGCCTTGGTAGGGAGGCCAGAGGTCCCCAAGAAGCAGGAGGAAATAAAATTACAAGTGGCAGACATTTCTTTTCTTTTCACTTCTAATCCTGTGTTGTCATGGTGACACTTGCTTCTGTCTGAACTTAACTTTCTCTCAAACCTTGAGCTAACCAATGTGTTTTTCTCATGGAAATCTCTTCCTCAAGCTATGTTAATGAACTATGTATTTGCTTGGAAATCTGCCTTTCTTCAAGATTCATGTCAATTGTTTTATGGCCGGGGATGACTCACCTTGTGCTATCTCAACATACATGTTGTGGGTGAGGGGCTTGGTGCAACTCTTTCAGTTTTGAGGTATTCCCTTTCTCTAATTAGTAGCTTGCTAATAGGTATATAATTCCTTGCTAAAAACTAACAAGGGGGCACTCTTTTTGTCTCACTCTGATGTATATATCAGAAGCTTTCTCTATCTTTTTTATACTTTAGTAAAACTTTGTTACACAAAAAGCTCTGAGCAATCAAGACTTGTCACTCGCCCCAGATCAAATTCTTCTTCTTCAGAGGCCAAAAATCCCAGCATTGTTCACAGCTCAGCTTGTAGCAGCAACCTTTCATTAGGGTATACACACACACACACACACACACACACATTTTCATTAGGGTATACATACACACACATTTTCATTAAGGTATACACACATGCACACATACATTTTCATTAGGGTATACACACGCACCCCCCCCCACACAACCATGCAAAGACTCAGGGGAAGAGACAGTTGTTTGCTAGCCAAGGTGAGAGGCCTAAGGAGAAACCAAACCTGCTGGCACTTTGATCTCAGATCTCTGCCCTCTAGAACTGTGAGATACCACATTTCTGTGGTGTAGGTCACCCAGTCAGTGGTACTCGTCAGGGCAGCCCAAGCAAAGTAGTTTGCTTGGTGAACAAGACCTGAGCTGGGTTTCCATCCAGCCTGCCCCTTTGGCTGGGAAACTGCAGGGCACAAGTTGACAAGGTGGCCCAGAGTGTGCTGGCACTTTCTGAGAACTTGGTTGCGAGGTGACTCGTATTACTCACCCAGATGCCTCCCCAGAAGGGAAAGCCTCCGTAGAATGAGACAGCAGTGTAGTTCCCTATGACAGTCGCCATGACGGAACCGAGGCCAAGGTGAATCAGGCCAATCAGGATCTGGATGGCCTGTCAGGAGAGCCACAAATGGAAGCCTTTGTTTCTGAGTCTGGATTCTGCCCCCTTTTTATTTTAATAAATGGTTTGTTTCCCTGGTCCAAAACATAATATGGAAAAATATAAAATTGAAATAAAAACTGTCCACCATTCCCCCTCACTCAGAGAAAACAACGGTTTACATTTTGTTGTTTTGTTGGATAAAGTTCCATCATTCTTTTCAGATATATACATGGATAATTCACAATGTCTCTATAGACTGAACATTTCATCACAAACATGTCCCTGTGAAATTAAATATCCTTCAAACTTACGTTTTTTTGAGGGCTGCCCAGATTCTGTCGTGTGGATATTCCATGGAATCATCGGAGCAGAGAGATTGTATGGGTTAGACTGTTTATTTTTTTCATATTATAAATAACACTGTGATGAACATGTTTGTAGATAAATATTCGTGCTCATCACTTATGTCTTCAGGACATTGTTATGGATTGAATTGTGTCTGCCTCTCCCCCATCAAATTCGTGTGCTGACATTCTGATCCCCAGCACCTCAGATTATAGCTTTGTTTGGAAATACTGCCACTGCAGATAAAACTAGGCCATGTAAGGTGTGCTGGAGTAGGCTGAACCCCTAATCCTATATGTGCGTGTGTGCTTAGTCGTGTCTGACTCTTTATGACCCCATAGACTGTAGCCCACCAGGCTCCTCTGTCCATGGGATTTTCCAGGCAAGAATACTGGATAGGTTTACATTTACTTCTCCAGGGGATCTTCCTGATCCATGGGTCAAAATTGCATCTCCTGCATTTTCTGTATTGGCAGGCAGATTCTTTACCACAGCACCACCTAGGAAACCCTTAATCTTATATGACTGCTGTCCTTTTTAAATTTTTTGGCCACGCCACGTGACGTGCAGGATCTTAGTTCCTTGGCTATCAAACCCATACCCCTTGCAGTGGAAGTGCTGAGTACTAACCGCTGGACCACCAGGGAAGTCCCTGACTTCTGTCCTTTGAAAGAGAACGCCATGTGGAGAGACACACTCATGAACACAGGAAAACGCCATGGCTGTCAGGATTGAAGTTATGCTGCCACAAACCAAGGAACTATTACTAGGAGAGAGGCCTGGAACAGACCCTTCCCTAGTGGTTCCTCCTCTGAAGGACTTATCCTTCAGAGAAAGCATGGCCCTGTGGACAGTTTGATTGTGTTTGGCCTCCAAACTGTGAGAATAAAATTCTGTTGCTTGAAGCCACCCGGTTTATGGCACTTTGTGATGGCAGCCCCTGGAAACTCATGCAGGTATGTTCTCACACAAATACTGTACATACTAATGGTATATAGATGACAAACATGGCAGCAGATATGAATATATTATTTCCTTAAATTTGCACAATAACAAATTATATGCAATGTCTGTCTCTGTTTTTTTTCCCATTAATGTCGCATCTTGGGGTTATGTTCACATTGTTGCACAAAAAGCTTACTTGTTCTTTTTAAAGCTTCACTACATTTCATTCTTTGGAGGTACAATACATGGCTTTAACCAGGATTATGTTGATGGATATTTTGGTTGTTTCCATTCTTTTGTGATTACCAGCTGTGCAGCCATGGGTAAGCTCATACATGTCACATTTCTTGCATGTGCAGGTATATCTGGAGGACGGTCTCAGAAATGGAATGATTGGGTATTTTGTAAATGTGGCAGATACAAATTGGCCTACAGATGATATTTATTGACATCCCATGGACAGTGAATGGGGGTAGGGCTAGGATTTGAGCTCCAGAGAGTCTGGATCAGAATCCAGACACTGCAGTGAAATGGGCCTCTCCTTGGATTACCCAGGACAACCTCTTAGGGGGAAAGTTGTTCGGCTGTCTTCGTTTGTTAGTTCTCTACTGTGCTTTTTTTCTTCTTGGGCAGATATTCCATTCAAGCTCTTTTAGATTTCACCTCATGGTCTGCTGAACCCACTTTCTTCCAGAAGCCACATGGATCAACACAGGTGTCAGCTTACTGCTTTTTTCCCCCATTGCTTTTCTTTCTCTTTCCTAAAAGGCCTGAGTCAAAAAATACAAGGTCCTGAACAGAGGCCCTAGTGATGCTGCCCAGCTGAGATTTCTCATAGATCTGAGTTTGGTGAGGCCAGGTCAGCTCCAACCCCACCTACTGGATTTGGAGTGTCTGTATTTCCAGAACTCCCCCCTCCTCCAGCTTCAGCCATGCGACAATCCCCACCCGTCCCTGCAGAGTGAAGTTTCACTTACCCCTAAGGCTTTGCCTTCTTTTAGGGTTCTCTCCGTGGGTTGCTGACTCACAGATGGCCACGAACCAGGTGGGTTCCCTTGAATTACATGGACTTGGGACTGGCAGTTCGCATATAGGGGCACCTGAGACATGCCCCCAGGGAACACCGTGTACCCATTTGGGGGTGTCACCACAAACACAGAGTTGGCCGTGGGACCTGCTGAAGTCGTTGGATTCATGCTGCTGAAAAACAAGTGCAGTAAAATAAATAACAAGGACCTACTGAATAGCACAGGGAACTATACTCAATGTCTTGTAATAGCCTATAATGAAAAAGAATCTGAAAAAGAATATATATATATGAAAAAGAATATATATATATATGAAAAAGAATATATATATATATGAAAAAGGATATATATATATACACACACACACACACACACAGAGGTTACTTGTGAATTCTGGTCTGGTTTAAAATTTTCTTTTTTTTTCTACTCTTTTTTGGAGCAGACCTCCAAAAGCTGGTACAATAAACCCTGCCACATGCTCCACCCCACACCCAGGTTCATTCAAATCTCATTTGGCAGCACACCTTATCACTGCCCCTCAGTTATCCATAGAAACTATTAGATCAAGGGTACTCACTTTGCTCTGCCAGCGGCGAAGTCTCTCTCACTTCTGTCTGTCTATTCCTAGTTATTTGCTGTAGGTGGCTTCTTTTTCCATAGCGGGTGGACACACTGGGTTGGGTTTGGGGATGTGTTTAAAAAGATCCAAAGTCCACTCTGCTTTCCTCCAAGATACAGACTTGGTTAACCAGTTATGCAGAGCTCAGCTTCCACACCCATATTTACTTCCTGATTTGGTCAAAAAGCCACCTAATTGTAATTCAGCTGGGAAAGTATTTACTGGAGAAGAAAGAGTTGTGCGTGGTGCCCTGGGAGACACAGAAAAGAGATGGGTGTACAGTGGTCACGTCTCGGCTGTAACGCAAGACAGAGCAATGTAAATAACCCAGCACAGAAACAAGAGACTCTCGCCAGAGAATGAAGGAGAAACTGATTCACTAGATTTGAAGAGATTAGGAAAGACGTCAAACAACAAGTGGAATTTGAAATCAATAAACTGCATGAGACAAAGGGAGCCAGAGCCTGTAAAATAAGAATTGCAATGAACTTAAGTCATAAACTCTACATCAGAGTCTGTAGAAAAGCAGAAAACGCCCAAGAGTGCGCAGGCATATTGGTGCATCCGTGATGAACATCATGTGAGTTACACAGGCAAAGTGTACAAAAACTGCTCTACTTTGAGGACTGTGATGGAATAGTCCATGACACACTCACCTTTGTATTCCTACTGACATGTAATAGGCACTAAGAAAATGCTTGCTGAGTGAACAGATGAAACTGATAAGATGGCTAGAATTTGGTAAAATGGTCAATATAAGAACATTATCACAGGCAGAGAAAATGGAGGAGGGCAAAAGCATGAAGAGAGAAGTGTAGGACATATTTTGGGTATGGCAAGGTTTATATATTTAAAGTTATGATTTTTCCAGTAATCACATATGGATGTGAGAATTGGACCATAAAAAAGCCTGAGCACCAAAGAATAGGTGTTTTTGAATTGTGGTGCTGGAGAAGACTCTTGAGAGTCCCTTTGGACTACACGGAGATCAAACCAGTAAATCATAAAGGAAATCAACCCTAAATATTCAATGGAAGGGCTGATGTTCTCTGCTGTGCTTAGTCACTCAGTCATGTCCAACTCTTTGTGACCCCATGGACTGTAGCCCCCAAGTCTCCTCCATGGGGATTCCAGGCAGGAATACTGAAGTGGGATGCCATGCCCTCATCCAGGGGGTATTCCCAACCCAGGGATCAAACCCAGGTCTCCTGCATTGCAGGCAGATTCTTAACTGTCTGAGCTACCAGGGAAGCCCCTTGTATACTTTAAATGACTCAATTATATGGTATGTGAATTATATCTTAAAACAAAGCACTTAATTAGATGGGAGATTACCAAGACATGAATAACTCTAACCAACTATACCCTGAAGCTCATGAATGCTGAAGGGAAAAAGAAATGATGAGAATAACAGCCACCTCAGAAATTAGAAACAAGAGCCTGTACAAGTGAAGTCAGAGAATAGAGGGACCAAAACATAGCCAGAATGAAATCACAGAACAAGGGAAAGATCAGACAGAAATACTTCAAAATATATTTTGATCTTCAGCATCTCTGTCAGTGCTAAACCCTTCTGGGAGTTGAGAACTCGTTGCTACTCTTGTTCTCTAGTTATGGGAAGGTAATGAATGGGTTATCTTCTCTTAGTGACCTAGAGAAAACTGAGTATCCCCCCAAAATGCAGTCTCTACATTGATCCCACTCATTCTGGGCTTGCTGATAGCTTATGCAAACTTTTCTGCATTACTGTATCACTCGGGATCCTGGAAGAAAACAGGTCAGTCTTAAAGTGCTTAACTAAAGGAAGATTAATGAAGAAACTGTTTACAGGAATATGAGCAGAGTCATGGGAACGGAAAGTGATGTTGACACATTTGGGAACCAATACTGGGAAGGCATCACTTCCCCTAAGCCGTAAGGGGCAAGGTGCAGGAATCACGTAACCACAGCAGTGAGACTTACAGCTGTGGAGCTGAGGAAGTGAGATGCCTAATAACCAGGGCCTTACACAGAAGGATCCAGTTACTGTCAAAACTGTGACCAGAGGGACTTGTTTTCTCCAGTTTGATTGGATGAACACCACCCAAAGGATAAAACCCAGGCATGAGATGTTGCAGTCCACGTGGGTTAGCCTCCCAGGGTCCAGAGCAGGGCACCTGCTTCCTGAATCTCCCCTCCCCACTTTTCTATTGTGTCCCGGGGGGCTGATCTTTACATGGATTTCCTCAACAGGCACCCTTGCCATCCTACTTCAGCTGGTTGCAAATAGCGGGACATCCTATTAGGAGATTGCAGGAGAGAAAGGGCAAGTTATTTAATTCTCTCACTTTCCCCCTTTGTGATGTTTCAAGGGCTGGTGGGCCCCTTGACCAAAGGTCAAAGTGGCTTCTCTGTTTAGTTTTGTCCCCTGATCAGTCACTGCTTGCTTCATCAGGCTCAGAGGATTATGGTTTGCTTCTGTTCTTAAACAACTTACAATATTATTCTATCACTTGTGGTTTCTCTACATCCCACCCCTATTTTGCAAAAAGCCCCTGTATTAACTATCCCTCAAATGAGCCCATTTGAACATTCCTTCTTAGTCTGATCAGTTACCTGACGGTTCTAAGGGCATAAAATGGATCCACCCTTAGAACAGTCTGAATGGGCAAGTGGAGACTTATCTCTCTCTTTGGTCTTCCTGACCCTGCCCCAAACGGAAGCAAACATGATCCCTATGACCTTGCTTTTCATCTCAAGGAAGAATCTGGAGTCCTACTCATTCAAATACAAGGTTTCCAATAAGCCCATGGCAACTATCCTCCTCTGGAGAAGGCCTGGTTCATGAAAAGTTTAGAGCAACTGTGAGCATCATTTTTTTTTCTACCTAATGGATATATATATTTTTTTCTACTTTCTCTTTGGAAAAAAGAGTGTGTATAACCTCCAACTCACTCAACAATTAAAAATTGTTTTTCCAGTGTTAGAGCACATTCTTTTCCCTCTTTGGAAAAGCCCTTGGGGAGTAGGAGCTAGGAGTGGGGAATCCGTGAGCCTGCTAGGATACCAGTAGAGACCTCAGTCTTTTTGATTTGAGGCACTGTACCTGTAGGACCAGCACGTTTTCCAAGAAACACTGAGGAGAATCAAAGTGTACAGAGGTAAATCAGTTTAATTTATATATTTCTAGAATTCTCAACTTTGAACACCTAGATTCTCCTTTCTCCCAAATAAATGCAAGAATGTCTAATGCTGAAACAATACAGTTGTGTAAAGTGTCAGTTCCTCAAGTTCAAGACATTTCTCAACAATGAAGAAGAAAATATTTCCTTCAGAAGGTTTCCTCTAAATGGAATTGACAGTCTGTCCTTGGAGGGCTGGAAAGAATAAAGACTGTAAAGTCTCTTGAAACAGTGGAGTTCTATTTTCATCTGTTTTAAGAAACTATTTAGTCCTTATATACAAATACAAGGTAAAGATTTTCAAAAACTCCTAAGAAGAAAAACAATAAGTTATACAAGAAAAATCTCTCCATACCTAGGTAAAATTAAAATGTAGGCTCCACAGTCACTATTTACAAAGAAAGCCAAATAATGAATTATATTCTGTAAGTTGTATAAATATATTAGATATTAAAAGTTGGTTGTCATATAACTGAATTTTATGATGACTTTCTATTTGGAAAAAAGTATTTCTCAAGTGAAAAAACTAAATAACAAAACTGTGTTTAAAAATATTATACTTGGAAATAAATGAGATAATGTATAAATACTAGATGAAATAATATTTTAAATAGGATAGAGTTTCTTGAGGTGTAAGCCCCTTAAAACAGTTTTTTTTTTTTTTAGGGAGAAAAAGAGACAATTTAACATTGTGTGTAATAGCCTCACGTTCTATGCTAGCTGCACCGTACAAACAAAAGTTTGTAAATTGACAACAGGCTGACAATTAGTAGTCATAAAAATGTTAATAAAAGAAGGCAAAAACATACAGGTGACTGCAGCATGCTATTTCTTTCTTTTTTGTTGTTGTTGTTACTGAATGTGGTTTTACAACACGAAATTAAATCTCAAATGTTGGGTTTTATAGCCCACTTTCTTTTTCATATTCTTGAAAACAATGATGGACTTTCTCTTGTGTGTTAATTCCTAAAGATAGTTTTAATTTAGAATGCTTTCCTTCCAGTAGATTAACTCCTTCTTTGTATATGTGTACAAGAAACTTCTAATGTTAATTGTTCAGTAGTCTCTAGCGAATCCAGATATTCCTGTGGCTTCTACCAGCTCAGTCCATATTTATTGCTTTTTTCATAGGCTGACATTTATGCAATGATTTAATTATAGCTGGAAAACACACTGTTTACACTATGGAGGGGAAATTACTGCATAACTAGTATGATGCACTGTATCAAAAATACTGGTTAGAAAATGAGTTTAGATAAAGCAAAGGGAGATTTGAGCACTGTACATAAAACAGTGATATTTGGGAGAAAATGTATAATTTATTCAGTTGCCCTCTCACTTTACACATGAAGTAATTGACACTTGCTTACCACCTATAGCTACTTAGT